ATGAACTCGATGTCCTTATTCCTTAAGTGCAAACAACAAGCATAACAGTGGTGACAGCGGTTTAGAAAAAGAAAAAAGTTTTTTTCTTTTAATTCAACAACACTTATATTTATAAATTCTTAAAGAAGGAATCCTTCTTATTCAGGAGTTGATTCTGTCCAATTCATTCAACGACGAAATTTAATTTTTAATTATGCCTAACGATGATTCACCTTCAAATTTAAATGAAGATACAAAAACAATCGAAAAAATGATGCAACCAGTTCTTACAACACAAGCACAACATATAAGTACACCAAATGAATCGGTACGTCGACATGTTCGAATTTTAGCAGAAGAAGAAAAAATTGGTGCGGATAAATGGTTATTTATATTGAATCAAGTTTATGATGATTTAAATTATTCACCATCACAACGTATAGACTATACAATCAAATTTTTAAATGAAGAACAAAAAGTATGGTACGAACAAAATAAAGATGAAGTTAAGGACGATTGGACATTATTTCGTGAACGATTAAAACAAAATTCATCTAACTATAAATCAATTCGAACAACTGCTCCGTCAATTAATATTTCAACATTAAACAATACCGAAGTGGTCGTACTAGAAGATCTTATCGATGCAAAATTTGACAAATATTCAGGTGTTGGTGACGCAAGAAATTGGTTATTACAAACCATGAATCAGTTTAAAGCATGTGGTCTACGACGTGATGATCAATTTGAAGCTATACCTTTATTATTAGAGGGCGATGCTTATTTATGGTATGCTGACAACAGCGATGCAATTTTCAACTTTGAAACATTTACCAAGTTATTTCTTCAACAATGCAAATCAACGATATCATCATCAACAAGTTTTACAGGGGGTACGGGCACATTAGTGACCACAGTACCTGATCACTCATCTATATCACATTTACAACGAACCGTGGCGGATGAAATTATTAAGAAACTAACATATTTTCGTGGTTCACAAGAGGGTGTGGGTGTGGGTGTGGATTTGGGTGTTGTCTTCTCCTCATATGCACCCACCTGGTACACGCACATCCACACCTACACCCACACCCACACCACACCCACCCCCACCCCCACCCACACTCGCACGGGATTCCGGACCTTCGCCAATAA